AAAAAAGAATTTGGACTGTAAGCTATATTGCATATCTAGTGTTATATTGTACAATTTCCAGGGACGGTGTCATTTTCGTAAGACTAGCATTTTAATAACTATACAGGCAAAATGATAATAATAAAAATATCACATGGTAAATATTCATATACTTTTTTTATTTGTCAATGTTGAAAGAGATAAGGAAGAATTTATTACAAAATGTTGAAATTGCATGTTCGCTCTCGTTATTGTTTTTTACAAATTTTAAAATCATCGTAGCTTGATATTAGCAATGAAAATTTAACCATAATGCAATTGGTTAAATTGACAGGAAGTAACCAAAACAAAACCGGTTATCTGAGTTACGTTGACTTGACACTAAATAATTGGTTATATTGTGTATACTGCTATTCTCTCAAAAACCTTCAATTGAATTCCTAAAACTTGTTAAACTATCATTAATATTTTCGTAAGACCAGCACTTTAAAGATGTGAATTATTTTTCTTCAAGCAAATTTTTCTCGGAAAGAAATTCTGATCTCCAGGCGAGATTCGAACACTTGACCTTGTTTGATAGTCAGACGCATAAGCATCTGAGCTTATCGAACAGTCGTCCGTCCGTCCTAAGTGATCATGATTAAATAACATCTACACCTCGCTCACCAACAAGAGGTCTAGCAAATAAGGTTACCATGGTAACACTACGTCAGCTATCATGAATACCATCAGTTTCATCTTTTCATTAAAATATTAAAAACGCAAGTGCATGCGTAACCTCGTGCGCGCGCGTACAAAAACTATATGGAGCCACCTTAAACGTAGGGCTGATTTGCAAAATGGTTGGGCTAAGATAATCAACCAACAATACAGAGTCATATCAGCTCATCAGTAATTTGATCCCATCTACATGGGTCCAAATCCTCAGATGGAATGCCGATTTGGTTTTCTAGAGCTGCTGATATGACTCTGTTATTGGTTAATTAAGCCTTGCTCTGAGCAATTTGTGAAGTCAATAAATGATAATGCACCATGAATAAACTAATTACAGCTAAGAGTACCGGCGTTCTCTGCGGTCTTGGCTTGTTGCTTGAGGCTTTTGGTGCGACAACGATTTCTGAAATAGGTGTATATTTCGCAAGACCAAGTTAATATGGAAAGCACCTTTAATAAGCGATTAATTGTGTATACTGCTATTCTCTCAAAAACCTTCGATTGAATTCCTTAAACTTGTTAAACTATCAAGTTTCTATTTCTGTAAAAATGTTTTTCGAATATCTAGAATATAAATGCTATGCTCCTATCAGCATGAAGAATGTAATGTTAGTAACTTTTAAAGCATGTTTATTCAACAGAAATAAAGTGGACAAAAACACGGTTTTT